CGTACTAAAATGTTCCTGCCATCTTTCTAGTACTTCCACTCTCTCGTTTAAAAGAATTCCGTTAAGGGCCTTGACTTGGTTCGCTTGTGGCTTGAAAACTTTTCTTTTTGTGTTAACCTGTTTGTAAAATTTTTTGTATTCGTGTTTTCTAAGGCTTTCCATTTCTTCGAACTCTTTATTGATTTGTTGCCGCTTTTTCTGTTTGTGTTTTTGTTTTTCCTCTCGTCTCTTTACTCGATATTCTTCAACATTGCTCCTAGTCCTTCTGTTGATCATTTTCAGATACGCGTCGTCCTTCTCTTTCGTTTCTCGTTGGCATTCCTCATCAAACCAGTTGGTTTGCTGTCCTTTGGATACTTCACCCAGCACTTCCTCTGCGGTCTCTTTGAGCGTGGATTTTATAAACTCCCAATTTGTGTTAAGTTCAGTGGGATATACTATTTTACGATCTAAGCATATTTGGAAGTTTCTTACGACTTCAGTACACTTGTAGTACCTCCTATTGGGACACTGTCTATATGTTTGTTTTAGTTTCTCATAGAATTCTTCTTTTTCTGTGTTTGTTTTATCCTCAGTGGGGGCATGTGCGTTTATAAGACTGTAGTTAAAGAATGTTCCACGTATTCTTAGAACACATATTCTATGATCTATAGCGTCAAAACCTATTATTAGGTTATTAACTCTTTTGCTAACTACAAAGCCTATCCCAAAGATATGTTGAGTTTGATGGCAGCTATAATATATGCTATTCAGATTCTTCTGGAGAGTACCGGTCCCTTTCCATCGCATCTCCTGTATAGCTGTCCATATTATATTTGTTAAGAGTGTCTAAGAGACATCTCATCGCTCCTGCAGAGTACAATGTTCTCACGTTCCATGATCCAAATCGAATATCCTTTTTTCGTTTGCGAGATCGTCTACATAAGGTCCGTCCGGTTTTTGTTTTTTCAGCTATCGTAACAATTCTTTTTTTTTTCAGGGTATGGTTGTTAGCCCTACGCCCAACCCCCAGACTTGAAGGACCAGAGACTCTTCTGTTAGGGTTACCATACTTTAGTCTGTTTCGGTTCGCGGGTGGTATTTTATTTCCCACCTACCCGCCGATCCTGCGACCGGTTAGGGCGTTCCCCTATCCACCACCTGGGGACGCGTCCGATGGGAGACAGACACTCCACACGGAGGACTAACGTCTTATCTTATAAAAAATGTTTTTATCTTCATGACTGTTTTCCTCGCTTGTTCGATTCTTGATAGGATTTCTTTTTTGAGTTACACTGGCTGTTGATATTTGCTCCCAAATATTTTATAGAAGGTATCTGTTCTATTATTTGTCCCTGGACATACAAATGTACGTTTGTCGGTATCTTTGAAAATACTAGAATTTTAGAAGTTTAGTTTTGGAAACGTTTAGATGTAAACCGCACATTTCGCCATGACGAACTACCGCATTTATAACATTGTGTAGTTCTTGTGCGTTGTTTGCTATACGGTATTATCAGCGTACCTGATAACTATGCTCGTTCCGTTAATCTTGAATCCACCTTGGATCTCGTCTAATGCTCCTCTGAATATAGATTCCGAATATATAATAAATAAGACGCAACCTCGTCGGATTCTTATATCTTCAGGTTCTATAAAAGAGCTTCTACAGTTCCCAACCTGTTTCCTTAAGATACTAGTGGCAAATATCCATAGATTTTAAACAATTTGTGTTACTAATCAAAACAAATTATATGTTTATACTCTAAGGTTTTTTCAGGGTGCACTTTTAAATGTTTTTGTTAATTAGATGCCTTAGTATACTGCTCAAAACAAATTTCAAACATGAACCTACAGCTTTTCTCCAGAGTGTAATCTCAAACATGGTTTTGTACTGTTAAACGCCGTTGGTATTTTTCTGCAGTGTGTCTTCTTAAATTATCGATTCGAGAAAACTGCTTAAATCAAATTTCATACTTGTAAGATTTGTTTAATTGTGCACATTGAAAGGATTTTTCAAACTTCTTGTTTTACTAAATTGCTTTAAACGAATTTCACAACGATAAGGTTTTTCTCCAGTATGCATTCTCAAATTACTTTTCAAATCATATGCTTGAATAAACTGCTTAAAAAACTGGTAAGGTTTTTTTCCAATTTACACTCTCAAATGATTTTTCATGATCTGCATAAAACAAATTTTAAACTGGCAAGGTTTTTCGTCAGTGTGCACTCTTAAATGTCTTTTCAAATTACATGGTGCAGTATATTGGTTAAAGCAAATTTCACACTTGTTTAGTTTCAGTGTGCGTTCTTACATGTTGATTTAATAAAAGAGCTTCTCAAGTTCCCAACCGGTTTCCTTAAGATACTAGTGGCAAATATCCATAAAGATTTTAAACAAGTTGTGTTACTAATCAAAACAAATTATACATGTTATGTTTATAATTATTGCCAAACACTCGATATTGATGATAGGCTTTCAGTGGCTGTAAATTACGTTTTGTCTAAGCTATGAATGCATAGTTTTAATGTGCACGAAAAGAACAAAAGCAAAGTATAAAAGCTACTAACATTTCAATGAAAAATGCTGCTTTTTGGTTGGTCGGCCATCTATTCCGTTTCGCGAAAAGTCTGATTGGTCAAAGTCAAGTGGCAACTATTAGTAAGAAACATAACAACGATCCACTGAAACTCATAAGGGCAAGCCGCTATGCATCAATAATTTCAGGAAAAAATATAATTGTAAAAGAAATTTTGAAAAATTATAACATTGCACAAAAAATGGTTTGTGATTCAAGATAATCATTAAAATGACTCCATTAGAAGGATCAACGTACTTGCTAGATCGAAATAGGTCCAAAGACGCTTACATTAGTATGCATTGTAAAATGAAAGCAATAGGGGCGGATATTTTTCCAACGTATGCTGCAAACACGGAATATAGACCACCAGAGAAATTTTTAAAATTACAGATACTGTGGCCGAAGTTCCTTTGCAACTTCTATTAAACCACCCGGCAGATAGAATTGTAAAGTTATAAATAGATGTAATCATTAAGAACATAGAAAATAGTAACACGGCAGACCTTGAAGCTATTTTAATTTATTCATGGAGATTTGATGGAAGATTCAGATATGAGTGTGAGCAATTTTAACGATGAAAATGTTTTTGCCAGTAGGTACGCTTATACCGTAACGTCTATCAACTTTCTCAAACATTGTATTGTGCAGTAATAGAGCCTCACAATCTGCAAGATTTTTGCCACCTTATCAATATTTAGCATTTGAAGATACAAAACTGTTTTCTGAATGCCTTGGACTATTTTATACTTTTTTTTACTTAAAAAGCATTTTAAGTGCTTTGTCTTGAAAGTTTCCGACAAATAGCATTCTTTTTAACAAAACTGTGGCTCGATACGGCTAGGATCTATGTATCTCATTACTCATGGTATCCCATACCATCATCTGTTGATAAATTTCTAATTCAATTTACATAACACATCAAATATAACTTCCCACACATTAAATATAACTTCCTACAGAAGTCTGAGATTTACTTATTGTACCTGAAATATATAAAATTTAAATGCGGATCATGACGAAGAGAAGGAAGAAGACATAATTGAACTTCCAGAAATGTTCTCATCCTTGGACGAAATTGTTTTTTCGGATGAGAAGTTGAGAATTAAAACATATTTTCATAAAATATTAATAATTAACAACAAATGATCATCATCTTGGTGCTAAAGCCCTTGGGGGGTCTCAACCTTCTCAAGCTTTCTACGCCATTCTGTTATGTCCCTTGCTTGCATTTTCCAGAGATTTACTTATTGTACCTGAAATATATAAAGTTTAAATGCGGATCATGACGAAGAGAAGGAAGAAGACATAATTGAAATTCCAGAAATGTTCTCATCCTTGGAAGAAATTGTATTTTCGGATGAAGAAATTGAGAATTAAAACTTATTTTCATAAAATATTAATAATTAACAAAAAAATGATCATCATCTTGGTGCTAAAGCCCTTAAAGGGTTTCAACCTTTCTACGCCATTCTGTTATGTCCCTTGCTTGCATTTTCCAGTTGCCGACTGCAATTTTCTAGGTATGTTGTGTTACCCCGTCCATCCACCTCAGCTTTGGTCTACCCCGTCTTCTCATTCTCACGGGTTGCGCTGTTAGAATCTTTTTTATCATGTTCGATTCAGCGCCCGGGCTACATGTCCTGCCCACTGCAGGCGGTTTCGCTTAATTATAGTGGTAATATGTTTACCACCAAACTTATGCTTGTAGATATTCTGCAGTTCAAAGTTATATCTACCCCTCCATATTCCGTTCTCACAGATCGCTCCGAATATCTTGCGTAGCACCTTTCTTTCAAAAATCGATAGAGCGTATTCATCTGTTTTAGTTAGCGTCCATGCCTCTGATCCATATGTGAGAACGGGGACTATCAGTGTTCTATACAGCCTTATTCGAGTTTTTTGAGGCAGGCGTTTGTTAGCTAAGTACTTTGATAGACCACGATAACACCTGTTTGCAATTATTATTCGCCTTTTTATTTCCTCAGATGTGTTATTATTGGGGTTAACCGATATCTCTAGATATATGAACTCTTTGACTGCTTCGAATTTTTAGTCATTGATGATTAAATCTGCGTCAACATTTTCAGCTCTTGTGTTTGTGTTAGTCACCATGAATTTGGTTTTATTTTGATTTATATGTAACTCCATTCGTTCTGCTGTTGCTAACTACTCGGTTAGGAATTTCCGCAGTTCTCGCCCTGTTCTTGTTATAATGTCAACGTAATCCGCATATGCTAGAATTTGGACTGATCTATTAAATATTGTTCTCCTGCTATCTAAATTAGCGTCTCGTACAACTATTTCTAAGGCGACATTAAAAAGCTGACGCACCAGCGCATCTCCATGCCTTAACCTCCTATGTATTTCAAATGGGGTTGACGAGTCGTTTTAAATTTTTATTGCTGATTGCATCTTCGCCATTAACAAAGAATAAAAATTAAAAAAATCAATGATTTTTAATTAATTTAGTATAATTTAATTAATAGAAATAAATAAATTTAATAAAATACATTTTAATTCAATTTTTATTATTATAATAATATTCTTTTCTGTGCATTACACTATTTTCACATATTGGATCCGCAATTTTGAATTTTTAAAATGAAATATCAAAGTCGGAATGATCTTTCCTAGTAAATTGTTTAAAACATATTTCATACTTCTAAGATTTTTCTCCAGTGTGCTTTTCCTAATGACTTTTTAAATGAGCCATCAGAGAAAAAAAATTTTACATTGGTAAGGATTTTAACGAGTAAGAAAGGTAAGAAATTTACTCTGTAAAAGAAATTTCAGATTGGTAAGGATTTCTCCCGTGTGTACATTTAAATGCCTTTTCAAACTTACTCTTTCACTAAATTGCTTGATACAAATTTCACCCTGGTAAGTTTTTTCTCCAATGTACACTCTCAAATAATTTTTCAAAATTCCTGTTTATGGCTTTTCTCCAGTGTGCACTCTCAAATGCTTTTTTAAACATCCTGTTTCATTAAACTGCTTAAAACAAATTTAACACTGAAAAGATGTTTTTTCTTTAGTGTGCACTATCAAATATCTTTTCAAATCTCACACTTCTATAGTTTGTTTCCAGTATGAGTTCTTAGATGTTGGTTTAAATGATCTTTTCTAATAAATTCTTTAAAACAAATTTGACACTTATAAGATCTTTCCCCAGTGTGCACTCTCAAATGCATTTTCAAACTTTCCGTTCGACTGAACTGCATAAAACAAATTTCACACTTGTAAGGCTTTTCTCCAGCATGCACTTTCAAATGTCTGTTCAAATTACATGCTGCAGTATATTGGTTAAAGCAAATTTCACACTTGTATAGTTTGTTTCCAGTGTGTGTTGTAAGATGTTGATTTAAATAATCTTTTCTGGCAAATTGTTTAAAACAAATTTCACACTTGTAAGATTTTTCTCCAGTGTGCGTTTTTACATGTTGATTTAAATAATCTTTTCTAGTAAATTGTTTACAACAAAATTCACACATGTAAGATTTTTCTCCAGAGTGCACTTTCAAATGCTTTTTCAAACTTTCTGTTCGACTGAACTGCCTAAAACAAATTTTACACTGGCAAGGTTTTTCTCCATTGTGCACTTTCAAATGTCTGTTCAAACTGCATGCTGCAGTATATTGATTTAAGCAAAATTCACACTTGTATAGTTTGTTTCCAGTGTGTGTTCTTATATGTTGATTTAAATAATCTTTCCTAGCAAATGATTTAAAACAAATTTCACACTTAAAAGATTTTTCTCCAGTGTGCGTTCTTAGATGTTTAATTAGATAATCTTTTCTAGAAAATTGTTTAAAACAAATTTCACAGGCATAATCCTTTCCGTTATTGTCGGTTCCAAAATGGTTTTTCAATTTATCTGCTCCAGTAATTTGTTTAAAACAAATTTCATATTTGTACAGTTGTTCGACAGTCTCTGCTTCTATATGTTCGTTTCTGTCCTGGAAAAAACCTAAAATAAAAACCAAACTTTAAAAATTTGTTTATGCGGAATATACAGGGCAAAAAAATGTAAATATGGGTTCACGTAAAAGGTCCATTAGAGTTTTGTTACAACAATACAACTTTAAAATCCACAAGGAATCTAAGTTTCTGTAGTTGGCTGTATACCATATATCAAAAAAAAATTATTAAAAATCCTTTATAAAAGGTATATAATTAAAAAAAAAAAAAAACCAATCGGGCTATATCACAAAACGTTTTCGGAATCCATGTTTCATCATCAGTGTCATAAAAAGTATATAACCACTTAAATAAAAAGAATGCTAGGTATACATGTATGTAGCCACCAAATATGTGGATAAAAACTCGTTAAAAATTGTTTGTTTAAATTTAGTTTATATTAAGTGTTATTAATTATTATGTTAAAGTTACCAGTGGATTTGGTAACATGGCGACGTTTGACTCCACGTGAAGTTGCTGGTTCTGAGACGGTGTGTCTACGAGGACTTGATGAAAGCAACTGATTGAAATGACAATGTTGACAAGTTAGGACGGAAGTCCGAACAAAGCAGTCAGTCTAACTTTATGTGTGTCTACTTAAGACAGAAGTCAACAAAATAATATAACAGTAGCAACCATCAATGTTGTTTTAAATTGTTGATTTGTCCTGATTTTATTTTTAAGAAACTGGAGAAAATTGTTTTATTAAAGTAATGTATGTGGAATGAATTGTGGTGAGAAAATTATGTGGGTATTGTTAGACAACCAACAATACATACATCTAAAAGTGGTGTGAATTAGAGATTCTAATATAAGCCTCTTAATGTTTCTTCAAAATTTGGTACCTGGAAAAAGGAAAATAGACATATGTGAGAAGTTGGATTCTTGAAAATTTATTGTTGATGGATGATATGAATAAATATATTTTATATTTGAAAGTGGTATTGAGTGAATAAAATGAAAGCTTTTATAATGTAATGTTCATGTAATATTTAACTTATAACTTAAGCATAGAAGGCCCTGTATGTAAAAAAAAATTGGTACCTGGTAAATGTAAATATTACAAAAAGTTACAAGTTCATGAACATAAATAACTGATTAAGTGTTAATGGGCGAAGTTAGTTAGTTGTTTTTTGTGTGTTAACAATTATATGAGATGAACAAAAATCGATGGTTGGGATGTTGGACATGGTTTTGGCTCCACAACCCATGGTGGGTCTTGGCCTGCTCCTATTCTTCGCCTTGACTTTCCAGTTTCGTACTCCCAACATTTTCAAGTCTTCCTCCACCTGATCCTTAAATCGTGCTCTGGGTCTGCCTCTCCTTCTCACTCCCTCTATTCTTTGATTATAAATATGTTTTGGCGGCTCCATCTCATTCATTCTCTCTATGTGACCTAACCACCGAGGCCGGTTTATTTTTATGGACCTAATAATATCAGTATTGTCATATAGGCGGTAAAGTTCGAAATTATAGCGTCTGTGGCATAATCCGCCCTCCTGTACTCCTCCATAGATATGCCGGAGGATTTTACGCTCAAAGCATCTTAAACGTTCTTCATCGCTCTTTGCCATCGTCCATGTTTCCGACGCGTATGTGAGGATGGGCTTGATAAGAGTTCTGTATATCACTAGTTTCGTTCTTTTTGTAATTAGGCTTGTAGTTAAAAAAATTTTTAATCCATAATAGGCTCTATTTGCCAGATATATCCATCTGTTAATTTCTGCACTTCCTGCATTATTCTGATTACTTTGTGAGCCTAGGTAAATAAACTCTTACTCCTCCGAAACTATATGTTCCGATCGTTAGATCTTCGGGTTGTGCTGCTTGTATATAATTTGATACTTTCATATATTTCGTCTTACTAGTGTTAACCTTTAGTCCCATTCTTTTTGTTACTGCTTCAAGCGCATTAAATTATTCGACCACATCCGCCTTTCTTCTTGCAATAATGTCGATGTCATCGGTGTACGCTGCGATTAATAATAGTTCCTCTAGTTGTTATTCCAGATTCTCTTATCGCTTTCTCTAGTGCAATATTGAACAGAAGGCATGATGGGCTGTCTCCTTGTCAAAGTCCTATCTGAGACTGGAACGTTCTGGAAACTCCATTCTACACTCTAACTTTACACTCGACTCTTAAGAGGGTCGCTTTCACCAATTTTACCAAGTGTACTGGTATGCTGAATTCTATTATGGCCTTGTACAGTGCGTTTATTTCAACACTATGATAGGCACATCTACAATCAACAAACAGGTGATGAGTATCAATGCCATACTCATGTTTTTTCCAGAGCTTGCCTTAGAAGGAATATTTGATCGGTTGTTGATCTTTCTTTACAAAACCCACACTGATATTTACCTATTATGTCTTCACAATTTCCCGATAGTCGGTCGTAAAGAATATATGCCAATATTTTATATGTTACGTTTAGGAGGGTTATTCCTCTGTAGTTGTCACATATTGTTTGATCTCCTTTCTTGTGGATAGGTACAATTATACCTACATTCCAGTCTTCTGGCAACTTTATTTGCTTCCAGATCAGTTCTACCAGTCTACATATACAGTATGTCAGGTTTTTTTTGTTTGCCGTTTGCCCTAGGAGCTTTGTTTTCTTTCAATTTTTGTATAGCTTGGATGACTTCTACCTCTGTTGGGATGTTATCTTTCTCTCTTTCATCGTCAATGTCCTCGAGTTGAATTTCTGATTCGTGGAGCCCTGTCTCACCTCTTATATTTAACCTTTCCTCGAAGTTTTCTGCCCACCTTTCTAGTATCTGGTCCTGATCACCAATGATCTCCCCTGTTCCATTTCTAACGATTGATAATCTTGGTTTGAATTCTTTCCTGTTCTGGTTAATCCTCTTGTAGAACTTTCGCGTTTCTGCTTGTGTCTTATAGCTCTCTAGTTCTTTTAGTTGACTCTCTATATACTCTTTCTTCTTTTTTTAAGTATTCGTTTGTACTTCTCGTCTCAGCTGGCTATACTCTTCCCCTGTTTGTCTCGTTCTTCGCCCTTGGAGTCTTCTATATGCCTGATTTTTTCTTTGCGTTGCTTGTGCGCATTCCTCATCGTACCAAAGTCAAACAACAACGGAACTCGACTAATACACTTAGCCTCCTCAATGAACATGGTGATTGCCAGCACATGCCTCAGGCACAAAGATATACATAAGGGAACATGGAGAAGTCCAGATGGGAATACAGTAACCAAATCGACCATGTGGCGGTTGACGCAAGACACTTCAGCGACATGATAGATGTACGTGCAAGACGCGGGGCGAACATAGACACGGACCATTACCTACTACAAGCTAAACTATGAGCTAGAATCTCCAATGCAAAGAAACAAAAATGAGTTAAAGAGGAAAGGCTTAAAGTAGAAGCGTTGAAGAACCCTGACATAGCTAAGAGATTCGAGGAAAATCTCGACAGCAAGCTGGAAGGCTGCACGGATGATATAGTTGAAGATATTGACAACTATTGGAGGCGGTGTAGAGTTATATTGGAAGAAGTGGCAACTGAAGTTATCGGAAAGTAAAAATGTAAAAAATTAAGGTCAGACTGATGATCGTAGTACTCAACTTATATTAAGAAGAAAAGGCCCTATCTGTTATAAAGCAACACTAGGTACATGAGAAATATAAAAGGATAAGTTATAAGTTCATGAGCTTAATAGATTATTGGTATATATTGACAAGAACTCTGAAAATGAGACAGTTGTAGGTGGCTCTGTTAAATTTTAGTAAAAAGGAGAAAATCATGGTGTTTTTTTTATAAAAAATTGTGAGAAGAGGAAAAACTACAGAAGGCTGAGGTCTCCAGAGATCCGAAACCAAACCCTGAGGGAGTTATATGGATGAGTAAAATAAGAACTGAATAGTTTAGGAGGGGGATGATGAATAATCTACTCTGAATTTAGAGGTGTCGAAAAGAAGCATGGAAAACATTAGGTATAGGGGTCTGACTTGAAGTTTGGGTTAAATAGAAAGAAGTGGGGAAAGATGGAGAGTATAATGTATTGAAAGAGAGGTTTTGGAGTAAACTAAGGAGGATGAATAGTTGACGAACGAATAATGATAAATATAGATTTTGTTGTAGAAGTAAATTAAGGATGTGGGTTATGAGAATAGTTGGCGATGGAGAGGGAGGAAGTCTCGATTGAATGAGACATGACGATTAACGCAATTTGGGCTTTTATGTTTTTATTTAAGAATTTTGAGGTCTTCATATAAGTCTAATTTGAGGAAGTTTTTTGGGGGATATTGTGAATAAGTGAAACATCTTCTAGGATAGTGAGGGTGTGGTTGTGTTCTTTGAGATGTTGAGAGAAAGTGTTCGGAATATAGATTCCGAAAACGTTTTGTGATATAGCCCGATTGGGTTTTTTAAATTATACAGGGTGTTTCAAAAAAAGGTAACCCCGTCTCTAGGTTAGGTAAAAAACTGAAAAATAATTGGGGTTTGCTTAGTAAAAAATTTTGTAACGCCATACGTTTTCAAGATACAGGCCGTTGAAGAAAAAAAAAATTTACGCATTTTTTACGATTTTGCCGAAACTACTGGCAACATTGTAATGAAATTTTTTCAAATATGTTTTGAAAGCTGATACATCCCATGCATTTGTTTTTATATCTGATTCTCATAGAGGGCGCTAGTTACACGGATCGTACTAAGTATTAGTCAATATAACTTTTTTAAGAGTATAATTATTAATCACAATTCCAAGTAAACTTAAACATCATTCAATTTTACACGAAAAAGGTACTCTTGGTAAAACTCGATACTGTGTACCATTTTCGGAATATTTTGATTTGAAAATTATGAAGTGATAATTGATGCTGGTATAAAATAGTTAGTAATTAAACAAAACTCACAAGAAGAAAATTAAATTAATAACTAAGAACATAAATGCCCTCCGTTTTCGCGAATACACAAGTATATTCTTTTTTCTAAAGATTCCATTAACCTTCTAAACGGTAGGGGATCAGCTATGATGTCATTAAATT